TTAGGGTGAGTTATTCAACTTCAATTTTTTAGTTTGTCTGTCTTCTATTTAGGCGGTGGACTGTATCCTCAAGCTTACTATTATTTACTGGCAATGTCTCTACACCTTGCTTTGGAAAGATGAAAGGTGTAGACACATTAACGTACTGATGGTAATTTGTCGTTTTTATTGTTTCAGTTCCCATTGCTTCACACACAACGAGGAAGCCAAGACACCTAAGAACAGTTAGCGATTCATTTTATTTGTCAATGGTACCTCTCAATCAACTGACACTTGGTTTAAGGTAGTCAATTTGGTATTCTTTCATACAGTAAAATAATATTCGAAATCCGTGAAATCATGTGACATCACGCAATCTTTGCAATCATGCGTACATCCAAAGAGAGAGTGGTGGCCCCCTCGAAGAAAATGCTTCGTAGTTACGAAGTATCAGAATCCTTTGCAAGTCTGGAAAGCATTGCTATGCAGAAATTTAACGGTGTGAACAGTAGACGCTTATCAGGTTAGTAAGCAACTTATCGACAAGGTCTTGGCGTGTCCATCAAGTCAGATCACTCTGGTTAGCAATACCAGCACAGAGAGAGAATAATTAACTACTTATTTCATAAACTGCAGCAGACGCCTTTGGGAAACGTCCGGAGGTCCCCCCTCCGGGAGGTCCCCCCTGAATATTTTATTATTTTTTAATAATAATTTTAGTAAAATAATAAAATATTATAAAAAATTGTAAAATATTAAAAAATATATCTAAGCGTGCTGCGCGATTTCTCATACCGTTCACGAAGATGGGCTCGGCCGTTCCCACGCCCCGGCCGATAATTTGAATGCAGAAATGGCGACTTCTTCAGTTGTAGTATATTCCTTGCATTTCTGTTGTTAAATAATAATTTTAATTAATTGGAAAGCGTATCCTCGCTACAGTTGCCTTGTTGCAGCTTACTGAGTTGAGAAAGTTTCGATCCCATGATCTCAATGTAGTGCTGTGATAACTATAGCTAACATATAGCCTTCACTTCATTGGATCATATGTACAGTTAGACTCCAACTGTTGATGGAATAAAATGCCGTTGCCCCGATGTCTCGTGCTGATGAGCTCCCACTACTGCTATTTTGTTTGGTCCTCTGCTCCTTCTGCGTCGGCCTGTTAGGGTGAGTTATTCAACTTCAATTTTTTAGTTTGTCTGTCTTCTATTTAGGCGGTGGACTGTATCCTCAAGCTTACTATTATTTACTGGCAATGTCTCTACACCTTGCTTTGGAAAGATGAAAGGTGTAGACACATTAACGTACTGATGGTAATTTGTTGTTTTTATTGTTTCAGTTCCCATTGCTTCACACACAACGAGGAAGCCAAGACACCTAAGAACAGTTAGCGATTCATTTTATTTGTCAATGGTACCTCTCAATCAACTGACACTTGGTTTAAGGTAGTCAATTTGGTATTCTTTCATACAGTAAAATAATATTCGAAATCCGTGAAATCATGTGACATCACGCAATCTTTGCAATCATGCGTACATCCAAAGAGAGAGTGGTGGCCCCCTCGAAGAAAATGCTACGTAGTTACGAAGTATCAGAATCCTTTGCAAGTCTGGAAAGCATTGCTATGCAGAAATTTAACGGTGTGAACAGTAGACGCTTATCAGGTTAGTAAGCAACTTATCGACAAGGTCTTGGCGTGTCCATCAAGTCAGATCACTCTGGTTAGCAATACCAGCACAGAGAGAGAATAATTAACTACTTATTTCATAAACTGCAGCAGACGCCTTTGGGAAACGTCCGGAGGTCCCCCCTCCGGGAGGTCCCCCCTGAATATTTTATTATTTTTTAATAATATTTTTAGTAAAATAATAAAATATTATAAAGAACGTCCGAGCGTGCTGCAGGATTTTTCATACCGTTCCCGACGATCCGATCGGGTGTTCCCGCGCGAGTGAGAATATTTAAACATGGCTAATGATGGCATGCCTATCGGCGCGGCGTCGTCTGTTATTGTTATTTAGAAATTACACACGTTTAAATGCTCAAATAACTTCTACTCTCGTAAGTGTGCATTTTCGGATCTAACATCGCCTATGGTGGGTAAATGTTCTATCTAGTAACACTGTTAACGGTGTAAAATATTATTTCGATCGGATAAAATCTTCAGCCTCCACAGCGGCCACAAAGATTAGCATGTAGCTCTTATACGAAAAAAGCATAACTGAAATTTTTCATATGAGTGGTTAGAGCACCGTTGGAGCGGACGGACGTGTTTGAGCTCCCGCAGCTGCTGCGGATTGTAAACATTTATTGGCCCTGTGCCCTGTGATATCTTCTTCAGCATCTGTGTGTACTTGTGCATCTACTGCGCGTGTTCTGTGCTTGCAAGATTCGTGCTTCATCTTTGGATCCTTCATGCCTCAAGAAGTCTGGAAGGTGTTACTTGTGAGGTAACCTAACATTTGTGTTCATCCAAGCTAATGTGCAGTGCTAGTGTTGCTTCGCTCAGTGACTTTAATCCCGTCCGCCCTTCGTTCGTTGCTCACCGCTTTTGGAACTGTGAATTTGGCCTCTCTTGAATGGTAGGGGTTTTGTGCAATCCTAACCTGTGCTCCTCGCAATGTGCTCGCCATGTGCTTTTGTCTTCTGCTCGGTCTGCTGTGTTTACATCCGGCCATGCTCTCTTGGGAGACCCTTCCAGAGAGTCTGTGACGTCATTTCCGGCTGTGAAAGCGAACTTTAAAAACTTTCTTGTGGCTGGGTTCGATCCCGGGACCCCCGGTTCCCGGCCGGCATCGCTGACCACAGCGCCACCGCGACAGTTGCGTACCCCTGCCTTGAGAGTGCCTTTCGTTGGGACGGAGCTCTATCTGCCATGCGCGCTCCCCCACTGAAGAAAAATTTGTTGGGCCTCAGCGGGTCTCGAACCTCTGCCCGCCGGTTCGTGGCCAACTTCGCTCGCCCCCAGACCAAGAGCGACCATGGCTCAGGTGCGATACTTGTACGTGCAAGTGCCGACGGGGCGCTCCTTTGGCTGCCCCACTGCTGGCTGCAAAAGCTTCGGCACCGTTCCACTCCTGAAGCGAGATGTCAAGACGGTCCACGCCCCGGCCAAAGTGCGCTTCGTGTGCCGCGAGTGCGGCCTCGAGGATTGCGACGCGCGCGTCACGACCGGCCATCTGAAGTCCCGGCACGGTCTGCGCAACGAGGACCCCGAGCTGGAGGCCACGAGGGCGTCCTGGACCCTCGCAGATCTTCTCGGCGCGGCGCCCGCTGCTCCGCCCGGAGAGGCGGCAGCCCACCAACCAGCCGTGCCCTGCGGGTTGCCTGATGGTGGCCTGCAGGCGCACGGGTCTCCGCCGCCCACCCGACCTGTCAGCCCCGGGGAAGCAGCAGCCCTCCACCCAGCCGAGCCCTGCGGGTTGCCTTCCGGCGGCCTGCAGGCGCACAGTTCAACATCTCCACTGCTGAGTGCGTCTCCACCACCACCGAGGGGGCCACTGCTGCGCACGCCTGCCTCCGCGGCTGCCTCTGCGGCGCGGCTCCTCCGCGCGGGCCAGGTCTGCAGAATGCGGACGCCACCTGCCTTGAGGCGCACTCTAGGACGTCGGTTGCTGCTGCCCACCTCACCACCGGAGATCGTGGCCGCCGCCGCCATCTCCACCGCCACCACACCTAGAACTATAGAGGTGGGGAGGACTGACAACTCCCGTCTCCACCCGCCCGCAAAGCGGCGACAGAAGCGACCCCCACTACTGAACACAGCATTGCCTACCTCCCAGGGGCGCGGATGGGCCGCGCCGCGCCGGACCGGCTCAACTGCGTAGACCTCGCTGTGTTTACACGCGTTTGTATGATGCGACAGTGTGTAAATATGTTATTTGGGGTGGCCCTTGGTATATTTTACAAGGTGAGCACATTAAAAAAGCAAGAAAACATACTTTTTAATGGATGCAAACGATTATGTTACATAACGATTTGGTTCAAAACCATTAAAAGTAGATGAGAAAGCAACAGCTGACTAGGTAAACAAAATGCCGCATTCAACCAACGAAAACTTAAAAATTAAACATACTTATAAAATACCATAACTGTATTTTAAGAAACTTAGGACGCATTTTCTTTGGTAAATTGTCAACAGGTATAAAATAGCATAAAGGAATTAAAAGAACACCATATAAAATGAAATGTTATGAAGAGGTAGGTTATGAGATTTTTAAGTTAGTTTAGCAGCCTTTGTCAATTGCTTTTTGAGTAGCCTTGCTGCTTCACTTTTCTTATTTTTCCTTTCAGCTACAAAGAACATTCGCATTGTGAGGTAAAACTGGACAATCTTCTTTGTGACCACCTCCATATGATCAATGCAGCCGACCATTTCTGCAGGACTCAATTTCAAGTATCTTAGAGTGGTGATGAACATATCTTCATGTATATCATGGTTAAATGAACTCTGTTGCACTGCTCCCTCAGCAGCTTTTATGAGGCGGACCATTTCATCTGATGCATATGTGTATCCTCCATAAATTTCCTTAGTTTTGGTGAAGTCATGCTCAGAACCTGCTTCTTCCCTAAACTTGGAGAAGGTCATAATACAATTAGTGCAGTTTCCTGCCACCTTTTGTTGTCGAAAAGCAGTAAAGCCAGCCATGAAGGCTACAATTTGAGAATCCATTTCCTTTGCCTGTGGTCGGTAGGAATGGTCCACCTGGTGCACCAGTGGTAGTGGTTCAAATGCCTCTCCTGCAAGTAGAGATTGTGTAATAAATTATTGTCTTTTAATAAATTTTTTCACTTTTCTTTTTTAGGACTAACTATTTAAACTACATACCATGGGTCAAGACCTCATCCAAAATAGTATCTATCTTTTCCTTTCGCTCAGCATCAGACTGAGCTACTAAGTCCTCAGCTACCATTAATGTTTTCACATTCTGAACCCCAGAAACATTGCTGCCAGGTGGTGGCTGCACAAGGGAATATATGGTAAGCAGCTTGTGTATCTGGGCAAATTTCCTAGGGTTTGGGTGTGAATCAGGGCCACAGAAGCTCCTCACCATTCCAAAGTATTGCTGTCAAGAATTTTCAAAATTCAATTTCTCTTGGTAGGGATTTATTTACAAGTAAAAACTGAAACAAATATTAAATTACCTCTATGGCATCCTGATTGAACCTAGCAGTCATCACATACTTGAACTTTATTTCCTCAATCAGGTAGGTGCTCAGTTCCAGCACAGCCCTGAGTGTAATAGTAAGACCAAGGTCTGTGCTTTCACTGAAGAAGGCTTTCTTTCCATCAGCTTTGGCTAACTTCAAGCAGTCTCTGTGATAGTCTATGTACTCCTCTATGGCCTGTTACATTAATGTGATAAAATTGCAAAATAATGGGTATTTTAAATATATATTTTTTTTATTTTGTTCTTAAGTAGAAGTTTAAATTTTGAGGGACTTACTTTCCAATGTTTGTTTCCCTTTCTGAGAGCGTCAACTGGTGAAGTGGAGTTCATTGCATCGACCAGTGTGTTAAATCTCTCAATAAACTTTTCTGTTGGCTCAGAATCTTCCAACATTGGATCTGCATTTTTTATCCGATGGTGTTCCATTCCAGCCCTCACACTATTGCTGAAAAACTGAGAAATATTTATAAATTAGTTTATGTACTTAAACTTTTTTTTCTTTTTCAGTTATAGATGACAAAATTACCTGCATGGCAAGCTTCACGTTCATGCGTTCAAAGCCTGAGGGAAATACATGTTTTTTGGAGAAGTTAGGAACAAAGGTAAGAGCACCAATGCCATATTTTTTTCCCATGCTCTCCTCCAGCTCTTGGAGTCTTGCCCAATGCTGCCTTTTGACAGTCCCCTCTGGCACCTAATATAGTTTAATATTCAGCATTAATTACACTTTTTTAAAATAATTTTTAAATTTAAGGGCTCTTTCTTTTACCTTGACTTGTTTGTTTCGGGCAGCCTCTTGTCTTGCTTTCAGATCTCTAGTAGCAGCTAATTCAACTGCCGCTTTTACAGCAGTACTTAACTCCTGTGCTTTACCTCCTCGTTTAGAGACCCGTCCTCCTCTAACACCTCTCCCTCTCCCTCTGCCTCTGCCTGTCCCTCGTCCTCTTCCTCTACCTCTTGTGGTTGTTGGTACAGGTTCAGCCGGTTGAGTGCTGATTATAGAGAGGTCTGCTGGGTCTTCTGCACAGGGCTCATCTACTGCCTCTTCTTCATCACCCTCAAATAAAACATCTGTCATGGCCTTTCGCCTGTTTAATTTTGTCGGGATTATGGGGCAGAGACAATTTCTGGCACATTTGACCAAATGGCAGAAGTCAGAAATGAACCAGAGTTTCCTGGTTTTATCCACTGGGTGTTGGCAACTGGATGTCCCTTCACCAATACCAAACCTTCCAAACATGTTTCTGTTCCAGGTGGCGCCATCAGTTACAACCCCATCCACTTTGAGGCCGGCTTCCTCGGTCAAGGCAGTAGCCTCCAGCACGACTTTTGCAAGTACTTCGCCTTTGGCATTTCCTCTGGTGAGGAAGCAGCCAAGGCTCTGATGCCACCGCCCCCGGAAGGGTTGGAACATGACCTCAAGGACATGGTCCCCCAGTTGGCCTTGCTGTTCTTCAGGGGTGTGCTTCCCTATGTCCACAACTCCAATAGCTTTTAAAGAGTG